AAATGTGTCTCTCTTTCCCGCTTCTACTTTGTTATCACTGTGAATTCTTTAGGCTAGCATCCAAAAGGCTTTCCCCTGTGCAGCTAATGTGCTTTAGGCCCCCAGCCAGCAGACAAGCTTTTTACTGCCCTTAAGTTGGACAAGATTGTTCAACCTACCTCCCAGTTGCTCTTGTTTATCCCTCTTTGTCCATCTCTCCTCCTCCTTCTCTGCCTCTTCCCCCTCTCATACTCTCACTAGGGCTAACCTGTCAGTCACTTTAAATTCCTCACATGCAAATAATTAATATGGGGTCCCTTATGTAGCAGATTTCTAATTTGCAAGTGTTCTTCACGCTTGAAGTGGCTGCAGGCCCCAGAGCTTGTAGTACCAATTCCCCCCCTGTCATCAGAGACAAGACGCTGGTTGAGTTACAGCAGTGGGGAGAGTAAAGAACCCTAACAGGCTAATAAACACTGATGATGCTGGCTGGGCTTGCAGGAACAATAATAATCTTCTCAACCTTGTTTACCTGTTAGGGTAGTGCAGTCAGGGGGAAAGGACTGGTCAGCTATGACGGCATGTTCCCAGGTTCATGGATGTTAAGAGGAAATGCAACATTTCCTATAAAATCAGGCTACTTCCCACGGTCACCCACAGGCAGAGAGCCAGAGACACATAGAGAAGGAAGTGAAGGATTTTGGACTTAATGGGTTATTGGGTTTAAAGGCCCCGTTTACAATGTTACATTTCAATGAAATATAAGCTGTGAACATATAAATGAAAATAACAATTTCAGGTGTTTCTCAAACGATCCTAACTGAAAACACAGGCCTGTTTTACTGTTGGACTGAATATTACTAACAAACCTTTGACAGCATCAGATTGCCAATGATGGCAATCTTTCAATTGTGTATTTTGAATTTTAGCACTGAGGCTAGCCTTTTGTTTACATTTGGATGAGTGATTTTGCCTTCAAGAACAAAGGCAAAAAGAAAGATGAAGATCAGAACAGACGGAACATAGCAAAAACCATATGGAAGGTTTGGTAGCAGATACACAAGCATGTGACACTCAGAGAAACAAAACAACAGCTGAGAAGGTGGTCATCACATGCCAGTTAGGCAGGATCATAATCTCGCTGAAGTCTGCCATTAGTCTTGTGAGACTGACCTTCCCATCATTGCACGTGTATACTGTTCTGGGTGAGGGCGAGTAGCTGGAACTGGTGTTGGCTTCTTCTCTGCATGTCTCCTGAGCCTCAACAATTGGTTCAACCACTTCAGCCTTGATTGTCTGAGTGCCACTGTCATGCATAGGCTCTGGAAAAACAAACAAGACATTTAACTTCACAGGGATACAAGCAGCAACTTAACAGGGGTAAAATTAAGCCTAAGAATACTGTACAATGTGTAACATGTAAACAGCCAATTGCACTTTTCTGGTCATGAGCTTGTGGTCTTAACAACAGGAACAGTGCCTACCTGCTTGTCTGCTTGTTTCCTGCCTTGGGCCTAGGCAACTCTGTACCTCGAGACAGATTACTATTTTGGCCCAGTAACTAAGCTGGCTTGGTGGTCAGCCATGATAAGCTCCTGTGTAGCTGACGACTTTTAATATCGGTCAGTGTACTACATCCCCTGCGCTAGGGTGCACTAATCTTTAGCCTGTCCAGTAGATGGTCTAAGCAGTAGTCAGCACCTCTGTTCATATCTATGGATGGTGTCGGGTGGGTGTGGAGTAGTAACATCAGAATCTGGCAAACCTGTGCTTGTATACTGCTGTCCACTGCAATGACACCACTTCTAATCACACTTATAACTATGGTGTATTTTTATTATACTTCCTGTATAGGTTTTATTACTTGAGTATCAAACCTATTAATCCTACTGCTGAATTTTGTTCTCAATGTTGTATTGCTTTGTCTATTAACTGTTTATTTTTGTAACTGTTATTTTCACATCTACAGGTCTAACTGCATGACCAGCTACAAGGCACACAAGAGCAGGGACCTCTCACAAGGTTTATTCTGTTTTTCCTCGTATCCTGAGTCATCTTAGAAAGGCTGGGCTGGATAAGGGCCACGGCTGTTGTGGACCTACTGGGACACTGTGTGTGACACTGGGCTATAAAATATGCGGTAAACTTTGAAGTGCAGGCTTACTGCACAACAGAAAAATCAATCTACTCTTCACTTGAATCAAAATTCTACTGGCAGTCTTTAAAAATCATACAATCATGAAACTGCGGACTACTTCGCATTTTACTCCCACTTAGATGAACTTGCTAAGTGATCAAGTAGCGGACTCATTTATCTTTCTAAATTGCTTCTTTGACAGAGCATAGGAGCGCACAAAAACCACAACATTCTTGTTACTAAAGATAGTTACTGTAATTACTAGGTTAACTTGACACATGACATCCAAATACTAGCTACACTAAGTAAAGCACCTCAACTCTGGTCTTACTTATATCCCAAAGCCAAAAATTAACTCTGAACCTCAGTGCTTGAACCAAAACAGGCAAGAATTCCTTAAAAATGGTAATGTGAACATCTATGAAGATCATGGGATATAACACAAATCCCAAATCAAGATTACTACAGCACATGGACCTTGTAGCCACATTGTTTTCTCAATCAAATGATCTAAAATCACAGCAGTATGTGGACATTCAGATAACACTTGGATTATAATGTGTCCTCTTTTTACAATAGCTGGAAAAGTCTGGATTTTACAGATGTCACAGTTTAAGACTGAACTTCTACGATTGAATGATATGTGCCATCTGGATCCTGTTTTACCACTACATAATGACTCAGACAAACAGAGACAGTTCCTCAAAGTGACTGATAGAGTTAAAGGTTACTATTAAACTATGACTTCAGACATTTGTGTGATAGTATGAATGCCAGTGGTCTCTCACCGCTGCCCAGTCTCATGAGAAGTACATCTTGCAGCCTCCTGTTGAAGTCCCTCAGTTCTTTGACTTCTGTCAACAAGTTGCCATATTCTTTCAGCTTCTTGGCCTGCTGCACTAGCTGCCTCCGGGTTCTCTCCAGCTCCTGCTGCAGCCTCCTCATCTCCTCCTCCTGTTGCCTGTAGCTGTGAACTAGCTCTTCATACAAGACTCTAGGAACCACGGCTGCGGCTACCTCCGACACACAATCCGACCTCCAAATGCTGTTGTTGCTGCTGGTGATGATATTGCTGATGCTCTGCCTCCATATCTTCATCTTCGTCGTCTGCATCCTCTCCCTCCTCTGCCAGCCGGTCCTCATCCAAGTCCTCCTCACCCTCCAGACATGAGCTGGCCGCATTTCTCTCCAGACGGGCCACTACTGCTGCCAGGCTCTTGGAGGAGTTAGAAAGGGGACGCCCATGGTCCTGAGACAGGGCCTGAAGAAAATAATAACTGTCAATTTAGGGAACAAATAGGCAAAAGAAATGAAATTTGAAATGCAGTGACTAGAGACTTGAGAACATGAACATGATAAAAAGTAAGCTATGTGTTTGGAGGTCGGAGGTCGGCTTAATAAAATATTTTACAAAATTTCTAAATTCTCTTTGCTGCATTAATTAAAAAAAAAATGCACTTAATGTGTAACTTTGTGATTCCACTCCACACTTTGAAGGCAGAACAGATGTAAAAAACCATGCATCAATCTAAAAATGACATGACAGACTGCAACCAGTTTGTTTCGACTCCTCTCCTCCCAGTTTCTATTGAGAGGAGTCACAGAGATCTTTGATGAGCCGCTCAGAGGATTTGTCTGTGAAAGGGAAGCTGTCCAGAGTGCTGAATTTGTTAATCCACCATATGGTAATAAATAAATAAATAAATAAGCATTAAGGGATTTTGGATGTCATCCAAATTTATGAAACTGTGACATTGTATCATTCACAGATATGTTTAAATATACATCTATTGCCATTTATGCATCCAAATGACACATTGCCCACAATTACAGTGTTGACAAAGTTTTTTCAGTGAGCAAAAATTATTCAGGGTCCCCACTGACATCGCATAAAGGTGGTCAATATACATGTGATTCTTTGATGCTTCATTTTGTTATGATAAAATACTGAAAAGGGTTTTTGTATCCATATATACACACATACATGTCTGATTTTATTTAGCATTATAATTTTTTTTATTTTAAAAGTGTTATATAAACATAATTTAAGTGAGAAACAAGGGGCAGGGTGGTTATACTGTATGTCATGATACTGGTGTCAGTGTAAGCATAAGCATAACTTCCTGAGGGTAAGTCCAGTGGTGTCTATTTAAATGTACAAACACATTTCCTCCAAAATAACACAGCTGCTGTCTAATTTGCTGGAGGTGAGCCTACCTTCTTATGTCTCAGTGGCATTCGCTCTTTTCCATAATTGTTCTCAATAGAATTTCCTGAATTCTTGATGGACATCTTGGGAATTTTCATCTTCTTTTGCATTATACTGTCTTCAAATTCCTCTACTGTATCTGTGAAGTGGAGAAATACAAGCAGGAAGAAACTCATGACGTTTCGAAAAAGTTGGATGGATTTTCATAAAACACCAATAATGCGGTTGTCCTACTCGACCAAGTGCGTTTTGTCTCAGATCAACTTCAGAATTCTTAGCCTAGAATTAAAATTTTGACTTTACATACAGAGAACTGTGAATGATACGAATCGCCCCGAGTACACGGCGCTTTACCAGAACTGGTGCTTTGTAGGTGTTTGTCACATAGCACAGATTCGGGTAGTAGTGTAGCTTGTTTCAGATCGAGCATCGACTATGACAGTGAACAAATGTTAACTCAGTCTAACTGCAACTAACGTTAAGTACTTGCACACCGAGCTGGCGTTAGCAAGTTACTGACAGATAGGTTGCTGTTATGTTGAAGACACGGCGATGACTGCAGCACTGCATCCCCTGTGTGGCACAACCCAGCAGATAAGCCAGCTAACATGCTAACCGGAACCCAGTAAAGCTCTCGGGCTAGCGTATCAGCTACATTCGCAAACCTCCAAAAACTGTAACAGGTCCACCACGGAGTGTCAGATGCGTTTTACATGTAATGCCAGCTCTGCGTCTGCACGCAGTAACTAGCGCGTCAGCGCTAACATGTTAACGCAGAACGAATACACACCAAGCTAGCAAACATTAGCTACATGTTGTAAACAACGTCTGTGACTGGCTAACGTTCCTTGCCACGTATTTAGCGGAACAGCCAGCACTACTCTATCGAAACAAAAAAAACTACCTCTTGGAACACCATACTCTAAATATAAAAATCTTTAAAGCATTGACAACAACGTACAACTACCTATTAAACTTATATTAGCCTTTCCAACTAGCATATCTAGCTAGCTGTAGCGGAGGACGTTGTTGTGGCTATCAGTGTCAAATTCCAGCTGATCACGTCTTGACAGGTCGGACAAAAGGACAGGCTCTGAAACATCTTCGAGTTTCATGCACATCAGCGTTACTTGAGCAGCCACAGAAAAACAGCATTTAAAAAAGAAATCTGGTAGGAAGGCAACTTACCTGCAAGGGCAAGGATCTGTGCTTCGCACGGCTGGCCTGCGCTGCCATTCTCTCCAGTTCTGTGAACCAGATACACCTTCTGATTATCAAAATCTGTTTTCTGCAGAGGTCTAAAATCTTCGACATTTGAAATAGGTAACGCGTAGCACATATCGTCTTCAAAGAATCTAACAAAAGCATACATTATTTACTTCTCTTTGGTCCTGCACTTTGGATATGGGTGACAGTTTTCCCTCACAAAGTATTAAAAAAATATACACATTGGGGATAGGGGATGGTGTCTGCGCTCGGCTACTCTTGTCTGGTCCACATCACCACGGTTGATCATCAAGGCATAAATAATAGACATGACGACTTCACTAACACAGTCGGGCGCATAATTATTCAAAAACAATTTTGATTTATTTGTATCAGAAAAAATAAACACAATTTTCACCCTCCCCTGTTATTAATTGCAACATTTAAAAAGCTCTCTTAATTTTTAAACATTTGCAAAGAACAAGATTTACGGCTATACAAGCACCAACGTCAGCATATTTAAAATCAAAGACCTATTTATATAGCAATTATTGCCTTTATTTTGTAAGTACCTATAGAACATCTCAGTCAACCTGGGTCATTACCCTTATCAATTAAGACATCAATTACTTCTCCGTTTGTCTTCCAAGCAGGGAACTACAGTGAGAAAAACCACCCAGATGAATATCTGCCTGGTCAGATATCATTGGTCTCTGTGTGCTTTTATGTGTTTCCTTCTCATCTGATCCTTGTGTCACCAAAAAGACTTAAGGCCAGTGGACGAAAAAGAATTCTGTTATTGTAAGACATTCAGGTGGTTATACAACAGGATGGATTTCTCTCAGTTGTTATTCTAATGGAGAGCACCCCAGTTGATAAATGACTAACAATTTCATTCTGCTTGGGCTGCTGTAATTGAAAAGTAACTGATGCAAAACTATATAAAGCCGTTTTTCTTCAATGATATTTCGTTTCATAGTTTCGGGCATTTAGTTAGTTATGACTGTGTCTGTTTCAAATACCAGCATCCCCATGATGTGAAGACAATAACTCTCAGAAGATAATGCCAGTCATTATATTTCAGTTACTGGAGCAGTATTTTAGTTGTTTTTAATACCGGTGTATGGTTAGATCTTCCAGTTACTGACCTGGGAGACTAGCTTGCCTGCCTTTCAGTTAAGAATCATTAAGCTGAACTGTCAAAACACAGTCAGAACATTACAGAAGTTCAATATGCTTTTTAAAACAAAAAGTATTATCAAGTTAGGGGTTCTTCAGGAGTTTTCTGATGCTTAGCCATGTATAGTTATGTGTAACTACATTGGCAGACCCCACAAACTGATAGGGGATTTGTGCAGCCTCTGAACAAGTCAAACAGAGCTTTACTGTTAATCTAAGCTTCTGTTCAATGGCTCTCCTGTCCTCAAGGCTGGGCTTCTCGACATAAGGGCGGCTCAATTTCTGGAGCCTTCTGTCTTTGAAGTAGCCAGTGTTTAAAGGGGAACACTACCCCATTTAAAGGTCTCGCAGGATGTTATTTCTGCAGCCTAATCAACAACTATCCCATAAAGTTCATGGAAGTGCACCAAAGATGGAAGTCTCCCTAGAGACACAATAAAAGAAGAACTCCGCAAATACATTTTATTTTACAATGTTTTTCACATCTTTGACAGTCTTCATATTTTCCTCCAAAATCTCTCTGAGCACATCAGTGTAAGTTTAGTGCATTTCTTTCCAGAGTAACTCTCAATTGTAAGAGGTATATTTCTTTTAAAATCACTTTTGGTCACTTCCATTTATTGTCATTATATTGTGCATCATATTATCTCTGATAGTACAGTCTATAGAACTGTCAGTAATTCCATTAAAGACAAATTCTATTATAAATATATATTCTAACAAAATACGATGCGGACAGTTGTGGCACTTACAGTACTTCTTATGTCACAAATCTTTACATCATGTCAGCTTCTGTCAAAACTATTTCCAAGATACAAAACCCCTCAGTTTAACCCATGCACTCCCTCTTTCTCACTGTATTCATGGCATCTTGCTTCACTGCACTGCCGAACTCTTATTTGTTGTCATGCTACAGTACTTGAATAAACTCACTGTTTTGTGTATGCGTTTTGTATAATACATAGAAATTATACAATTTTATATATGAACCATATATTTGATTAGTGCCGGTAGTTATTATATTTTCTTGAAAAGTTCACTAAGAAACTTTGTGCCATACAGCATGAGAAAGTAATAAACACTGCACTAAAAATCAACCATTTCCTAGTATGTGTTGACAGTTTTGAACTAGTGTACAGTATATAGTATGGAATTGGGACACAGCTTTAGTTTTGTTGCACTTGTTTAGGAACGGGTAGTTACACCTTTAGCATTCTTATTGGTTTGTGAAGTTTGGCGACAGTGGCAGCACAATAGAGCTTTGGTGACCACTATCTCTTCACAGCAAGACAGCTGGCTGGGGCCTTTCTGTATGATTTTTGTGTGTGAAAGACAAGCAGGTTAGGTTAATTGGTGTCTCACATTACATGGTGTAGTGGCCCAAATCATTTCTTCCCCTCCAAATGACTCAGATCTGATCTTTTTACAGATGTGTGAACAAATCAAATTAGATTTTTTCAAATCGGATAAGGGCCACTTCCATATGTGGTCTTAGATCTGGTTGACAGCCAATGTCTGACTATATAGCCGCTGTCAAAAGGGTCTGAGCAAACTTTATCAGGTTTATTTAATGTCTGCTGCCTGTTGCCATCATTCAGTGTCAGCCCCTCACAGACTGGTAAAAATAAACATGAATGAGAACAACAACAGTGACAGGGGCCAGTGGAGAAATGAGGAAGCTTCTGTTCAAGCCAAACTGAAAGGAAGTGCTGTATCCAAGATCAGATCTGACAACTAAGTATTAAGGCCTGTAATGTAAGCACAGCTTAAAATGCTGGTAGGTGTGAATGTGAGCAGAATGGTCGCTTGTCTCTATGTGTCAGCCTTGTGTTGAGGTCCTGCCTCTCACCCAGTGTCAGCTGGGATTGACTATAAACCACAACCCTGAAGAATAAGCAGTGTAGCTAATGAATGGACAGATGGAATGGATGATAGTTGACCTCATGAGCAGAGGTCAGCCAAAATAACTGGAAACACATGTGCTTATACAGTATAATGGCAAGTTTCATCTTAATGAATCTCAAACTGCATAAATATTGGTTTATGCATTCAAGTTTAGCATGTTGGTTTCATTGTTCTGCATTGTTGGGTTATCTGCAGGTGTACACAAGTACCTTTATCCAGTTAGACCCTGCAAAGAATTAGACTCTCTCTGTTATAACCTTAATCTATTCTTTGTATGTGAACATTTTATTCACAAATGAAGGTTTTTCTACAGTAGCCCCAGATGTGTTGTTTTTAGGAATGACATTTACAGCTCAATTATGGAGGTGAACTTCACACAAAGCAACATGCTGTAGAGTTATGATTATTATAGCACATAGAATGTGAATATGTTATGTAGTATTGTTTTCCATATTTTCTACTATTAAAATACTGTAATGTTTGTTTAATTCTGCAATAACAAGCAACAAAAGCAAGATTATTGCTCAGTGTCACACTTTGTGGCTCATTAAAACACAAGGAATAGAGGACAAAATCACCTCTAAATTATTGCTGCAAAGGACAGAGAAAATGGAATATTAATCAAATAATGACCTTCAATGCACAGTAGAAATTAATTTTAGCATTTATTATTATGTGAGGGTTCAAGTTCTCTCACTGTCTCTCTCATTAAATATCACTTAAATGTTTTGTGCTCATTGCTGTGTGTTTACTTTTAACCATTATACGAATTAAAAGTAACACTAGTATTTAATTAATAAATTAAATAATCTTTCTTTTTTTAAATTGTTACCTAAATACATAAAATTTGCTCTGATTTGTCTGAACCTATTGGCCTGCTAATTAACTGATGATATATTAAGCTGCAGGAGTAACTCTAGATAATATTTTACATGTTTTATCTGTGGGGACAGTTGATCGACTTAAGACTGGAGTCAGGACAGAAGCCAGACATCATGTTCTGCCTATTAGCTCCACACTACCAGGCTCATCTATCTTTATTGGTCATCCATTAGCCTGCATTAAAGGGAGACACAGGATAATAGCAGTAATGATGCTGGTGATGGAATTAGACCATGGGCATACAGTACGTCATCATTGCAGTGTTGCACCTGGAATCATAAAGAGTGTGACCACTGACAAACGGAAGAACAGATAAAATAAACCTCTGCTTTATGCTTCTGATCAGTGCGTGTGGATATGACTGTGTGACAAAAACACAGGGAGATAAAGAGAACAAAATGAGGGCTCGCAATTTAACTGAAAAATGTCAATAGAGCTCTGAGGTGTATACATTAACTTTCTGGCACGTAGACAGCCAATCTAAAGGGAGCACCTGTGCCAATCTGCAGGACAGACAGATGCTGGCACAGGTGTGTGCATGATGATGGTTGGCAGGGATGAGTGCTAGCCTGAACAGCGGCATACAGACACCAGATCCAGTGAAGTGGCAGTGCCAGGCATTAGACAGACGGGACTGAGGGATCATTAGGGCAACTTTCTGGAAAGGCACTCTGAAATCAGGAAAGCACTAAGCACAATGAAGATATGGGGGTCCAGTTCCAAAATGACAGATCCAGAGAGGTGTAAATGTCTTTTGTAGACAGCGCGCTATTACAATCAATCACAACTGTTTGCAGTCCAGGAGTAATGCTGTTTTCCTGTTTTGGTTGGAGGCATCTTACCAGTCTTTTTCTTATTATGCCTTTTAATTAGCGCCGCATGAATTACTAATCAACCATGAAGAAGCCATTCACCAATTTAAAAAGTGATAGCCCATGAAATGAACAGACCAGCCTCACAGAAACACAGCATTTACTGATACAGCAAGGCCTGAAAACAAATATTGACTGAAAGACAGAGACAGCAGAAAGAAAGAATGAAAAGATGGACACAAAGCACACACCATGCAAACCTTATAGTGAATATAGCCTTCATTAAGTATTTAGAATGGTATCAGCACTGGCCCTGCCATCGTGCACTGTGATCCACCCAGGAGACATTGATCTTCTTCATAAGGAACATAATGATCACCAGAGAAATACTGATCATATTTCAGCTCCAGTCGATTCTGTTCATTAGGGCTGCTCTACCTCCTGCTGCGGACCTGTATTGATCTTACCAGTGTCACCAGACTGTTATTCTCCACTAACTAGATAGGGAACTCACAAAACTGTA